AAAAAAAATTTTTTTTGGGGGGGGGGGCATGAAAGGCGTCCCCCTAACCAACTTTTTTTAACTGAAGAGGCGGTTTGGAAAAGAAGCGAAAAGTCTCTCCCAAAAAGAAAAGAAGTCCAGTTGCCATGACTCAGCCTCCAGACAAGAATATCAATGCATTTTTATTGGATAACTAAACAAGTTTCAGTAGAGTGTATCAACTGAAGCACTGGAGCAGAACTAGGGAGGTCCCCTTCAGCCATGGAAGCTTACCTGATGACTCTGGATCGGTCTTAGTCCAAACTGACAGGGTTGTTGTTAAGGGGAAAACAACGAAAGAGAGGAAGGGCTGGATGTAAACCTAGCAAGCCAGCCAAGAGATAATAAATAATGGACAATTGTTGCTTTTAATGTACCTAGAATAGCTTTTATGCCTGTATCTACATGGTGAATGATTTTAAGAAACGAGCTAGACATAAATCTGAAGAATGAAGGCATTCCTTTGCGAATCGTCAGCGGGTCACTTGGAAAAATATGCCCACCACTTCAATTCAATTATAACAAGAGATTTGGAAGTGCTGAAGAGCCTGGCGTTTTAGGGACGTTCAAAACTCAGCTGGAGCTATGGCTGTGCCCGTTAGGAGGACTGAGGGTGCATCTATTAAGCACATAATCCCCATATTGAACTGGCTACAAGTTCAAACCTATTCCTTTTCTGGTGGATTTCAACCAGTCTAAGATAAACACAGGAGCAATCTGTCCTCCTTGTTTCAAGATGACCTTCCCTAATCCTAATGTGGCAAACTATTTCAGCCCCTGGTCACTGCAGCCATTCTTTCCCTCCATATCTCTCCACACATAATGTCCCAAGTTAAGGAGGAGGACTGAAACATTAATAAGGAAAGTCACAGAATAAAGGTGTTTCTGGATAGCAACGTGGGACACCATGATTGCTGTTGTCCTGGGAGAGGGGGGAACAGCTTCATCTGAAGCATGGTGAGACATCCATGCATCTGAAGCACTGTGGGACATCCATGCTGCATTCGCAGTCAAGTATGCATGTTAGAAGAGGAGTTACAGAAGGGAAAGGAAGGACACTTTGATGGCACCTTGTGGACACTTTGTTGTGAAAAATGTCCACTTGCTCCATATTCTGTGAGATTCCTATTTAGCTGTGTTGTCCTCCAGCTGCCTGGAGATTACAAGAATTGCTGTCCAATACATTCCAAAGATGCAAGGTTGAAGAAGGTTGCGCCAAGGTGCCTCTACTGAACCTAGACATCTGCAGCCTTCCGGAGGGACAGGAGCATGTCAGTCTTTCGATTTTTAGGAATTCAGCTGTCAGAGCCAGATAGGGGCATTTGGCCTGCTACACTGGCCATCAGGCAATTCAGAAACCCTGGAGGCTGCTCCAAATGGTTAAGCTGATCTATTATTTCCCGAACTAGATTCCCAGAGCAGATTCTCAGCAGCTGCTGCTTGAAATCGATGCGCTCCATCATAAGGTGGGTGCCACAGTTTCTCAAAATCAATACGCTTTGTCTTGCCAAAGCTCTAACAGGTCGGAAGGGAGAGAAGAGAGTCTCCTTTCCATCCTCTTTCACAAGAATGACAACCACTGTGGACTTTGGAATGGAGGGTTTGCTCCATCTACTAATCAGATAAATGAATCCAAAGGAGAATCAAGATTCAGACAGGTAAGCTGAAGATCCAACAAGGAAAGGGGATGTCTGCATCTCAGGCTTTTCTGGAACACAACCTGCCAGGATGGTGTGGGCATGGCGGAACAGGTCTCCAGACTGAAGATCAGAAGCTATGCTACCTTGGGCAACAGGCTGCTGTTGGGCCAGCCAGATGAGGCTCCCAGGCTGAGCAAAGCTTTGGAAAGTTCCGTCTGCTCTGCAAAAATGCCCAGCCTCCAAGGAAGCTCATCGAAGTTCATGGAACGTGAACTGTCTTGGACAAGAAAGGCTACTCCTGGTCAGTAGAAAAGCGAAAGGGACGAAACCAGAGCTGAAAGCCATTGGGAGGCACCACCACGGCACTGAATGGTCCTGCAGCGTCCAAACACACCCTAGTCCTTGATGTCTCAAGTGTCCTCCAAACAGATTTTATTTCCCACATCCCTACTCTCTCCCTAGGCTGCTGGGCCAAGGGATCTCCTACTTTGCCACTCCCTCCACTGGATCCATTTGTGTGACACTCTCTCTCTTTTTAAGGGACGCCAGCCTCCTCTCATTCTCCTATGAGCAGCCACCAGGGGGCATCGTCTTAATACGGAGAAATGAACCCAAGGAAACAAAGAACCAAAATGGTACATGGCCATATTTAGAAACCTGACACACTCACCTTCTGATTGCGAAGACAGAACTCCCTTTACTCGCAGATCCAGGGAATGCAGAGGCACCTCCATGTATTCCATGTTGTTCTCCTGCCCAGCTCCTTCTTCGCTCCCCAAAGGGGGCTTGTAAGATTCAGAACCTGGGTTTAAAATATATATAGATTGAGAACGCCAGGAAAGAACTATGCATGTGTCTCTCTCTCTAAAGGCCACATTCATCTCTAACAGACAGTAGGCAGGCTACACCCGCTGAAGAATCGGTAAATACAGATGCAGAGAGAACAATTAAAATGCAACAGCTGGGCCCACTGATCTCTGAGGCTGACTTCTTCCTCTTCTTGCCTGGATCGGGGCAGATCTTCTCCTGTTGCACAGTGGAAAGTTGTTAGCGACCAGGAACCCTTCCCTTTCAGAGACATCTGCCTGCTTCTGCACAGCACTAGCAGCAGAAATTTGCCTGGCACAGAGGGAAGATGGAAGGAAAGAGCTGGGCTCCTCTTGGCTCACCCTACTCTGATGCAAAAACCCCGAAGAGCCAAGCCAGACTAGACAAGCCAATCATGCAGAAGGAGGTGAAGGGAGCAGAAGACATCTGGCTGAATGCAAAAAGGACTGCTGCATGCCAATCGCAGCCTCCTGTTGAGCAAGGCGGAGCCTGCTAATGAAAACTAATGTGTGGGAACCAGTTCACGCTTCTTCTCCATTTGCACTTCCACCTCTCTCACACACACATTCCAACACACACACAACGCGCGCACACATAAAGCCCTTCGCCTCCCCGCCACATAGGAATAAGCAAAGGGAGCATCACGCCAGCTCCACTGGTCACCTCCCCATCATTTGCCACTTCCTTCTGTTCCATCCTGCTGCTATTGGCCAACGAGAAGAGAAGAAGACCCCCCAATAATTTTGGTGAAATGGATAGCATAATTATGGCTCTTTTTTAAAATTATATTTTAGCAACCACCCAGAGGGAGTGCAAGAGAGGCCTGAACACCTGCAAGACTGGCGTGCAGAACTTCTGCGATCAAGAATCAGAGTTTAGCAGCCCCATGCATTGAGGACAAAGAGAACTTTGGGCCTTGCAGTAGTGTGAGTTTTGACCTGTGGACCATCCCCATGCCTTCCCTATGGGGAAATGATCCAAGGTATTCAGTTGTAGTCCAGAATCATCTCAAGAACCACAACCCTCTCCTGAAGGAAGAACAAGTGAAACACCAGCTTCTCATCCCAGAACGAGAACATCCAAGACTGGGAAAAACACAACCCAGTGCAGCCAGTAACTTCACCTAGAATGGCCAGTAGAAGTACTGATGGACCCTCCTTCCACCCACTCCAAATTACACCTCTGGATACAGCCATTCTCTCTCTCTCTCTCTCTCTTTCTGCCTGTGCCTTGGAAAAAAGAGGAAGTCCCCACAGGGCTTTCTCAAGTTGCTGGATTAGTCTCAGGGCCTTGATTCCAAAACCTGCCCCATAAACCAAGGGGCAAAAAGGTCCACCTCTGTCTCACAGGATGGAAGAGACCACACTGCAGCCAAGATCTGAGAGGAAGGCAACTTGCAGGCTCCAGATGTTCTATCAGCCTGCATCCCCACACCCATCCTCCTGGAGAGCATCATTACCCACCCTTCCCTTGGGGTCTCCAGTAAAGACATTAAAAAAAAAAAAAAGAGTAGTCCATTACCTAAGATGTTGGCTTTCTTCTTTTTATTTCTCCGCCTCCTTTTCCGGGTGGGTTTCAACCAGGGACTCTCTGCTTTCCCTTTCCGTTTCATCATTTTCTTCTTGAGACTGGATTCAGAGCTCTGCAAAACCACAGGAACCATCTGCTTTAGGAAAAGGAGGCCTGGCCTACCACTATGCCATGGTTACTGTGGTCTTCATTCCCCCACCCCTTTTCTTTAAAGTGGCTAGAACCAGAGGAGCACAGTTTAGCGACATTTAGCAACAAAGCTGCTTCCTGAAAGATCACATAATAGACAACAGAGGCCAAGGATTCAATGCTGGTACACTGCAGGATAAAACTGTAAAAAAAATAACAGCCCCATTTTCTTAGAAAGTGTGGCCATCCAGCTTTTCCCACGAAAGAAAGAAAGAAAGAAAGAAAGAAAGAAAGAAAGAAAGAAAGAAAGAAAGAAAGAAAGAAAGAAAGAAAGATAGTTAGTTTAGCTTATCCAAATGCTAGGCTTAATTCATTTGTTCAAATTTACCAATCTAAGCAACTTTGACTATCTTCGTGGGTTTTTTCCCTAGCGTAGTACATGCTATAATAGAGGCACATAGCATAAGATGGTTTTACTCCCAGCTTACAGCATTGGATTTGTTAAAATATTTTGCCCTGCCTTTCCATCTGAGTGCAAGGTACCTAAAAATGAATCAATTATAAAAGAAAACCACCACAACAAAGATTGACGTAGCCTTCCACCTTGGCCCTACACAAGATACTTAGCTATAGATCAGTAACAATAAACAAACAGAGATTTGGGGAAGAGGGATATGAAGGTTACAAGTAGCATGCAGGTCAGCAAACCTCAGCAAACCAGAAACAAAAAGAACCCAGCGAAGAGGATAAAACAGATCACAGGCTGGCTTGGAGCCAACATTCCTAGCTTAATAGACCATAATTTCAAAAGCACAAGAGATGGACTTACAGATGCATCCTTCGGTCCTTTGGGAGAACTGAACCTGGTCCGCTTTAACTGCAATTCTGCCATTATGTCCAAAATGGAAAACTATTGTTTAACAGGATCCTGAGTTAGTCAACTTACCTGAAGCCACAGTATGCTGTTCTGGGCATTACGTATCATAGTGGCTCAGTATCAACTCGCAGGCAAAAATATTTCAATAACAGGTCAAAAAAATCAATGCCACCTTTGGAATTTAAAAAGGAATTCAATGAGGGATGTAACTCAAAATTGCAGCTTTCTATAACCAGGATCAAAGTCAGAACATATAGATGGGATCCAATATTTCAAATTTCAAGACAATGGTTTAGAGAAGCTAAGTTTGTTATCTTCAGACTCCCATATGAAACACACTGAAATAATAGCAAGTTTGCTATTATACGCTAATGGAGAAGGGTTTTGTTCTGTTGCTGCTAAACAGAAACTCTTGATGATCTACCGTTTCCGATGTCTCCTATCCACCTCTTGCAACAGGATCTCTAAGCACAGCTAGTGTTTGCAGGCTGGAACTGAACCATGATCATAAGTAACAGAAGAAATCTAAGCCCAATGGGCCAACTCAATTTGTCGCTAGATAAAATTCACCTTCTGGAAAAAAACTCAAATTTGAGAGGTTTCAATGCTACCAGAAGAACTAACAAGGGGAAAGAGGCTTATCTTCAAAAGAAAAGGGGAAAAAAACCCTTTAACTGTTTTGCTTCATTACACTTGTTCAACCTGTTGTATCGGAACTAAATTGCACCCAGTCTCCTATCTGCCTTTACAACTGCAAGAAGAAAGTTGTAATCAAGAATAAACCAAAGAGAGAGAGAAACGGGGAGGGGGGAGAGACAGAGGGAAGAGGGGAAAAATTAGCTATAGGGGTTATCAGGAAAAACCCAGCAACTTACTTTTTCATCCTCAACCTTCATCTTATTTTTTATTATTGGGAAGAGAACATACACATATTTCTGCCCTAATCATGACAGTATCCTAAACAGCCCCCCCTCAACTCCAGCAGCAAAATGTTTGGGCTGGCTATGGAAATCATCAGATTTTTAAAGCATGCTTAACTCTGCAAAGGATCACGGCAGAAATATTTTGCTAGTTCCCTTTAAAACCTCTTTGGTGGTAGGGTTGTTGTTATGGAATCCCCTGGAAGTATAGCTGACTTCTCTTCCTTCGTACCAACTCGACCATTTTTAATTGTCTCCTGAAGAGACACATCTTGCAATCTGCTTTATAACTCAACTGTATTGGCCAACTGAGCATCAGGTTCTTGACGTGATGTGGTCCATACCAAAATGAGACATTTTCATTCTGCTGCTTAAGACAACAGCAAGTTTTGCATATTATTATAAGATCCCGTAGATTCACTTGAAGAGACATCTTGCCCTGAAAGGTGATATTAAACAAATGAAGAGGGTGGGGAAGGGAAAAGAAATGAAAGACTTTGTTTCTATTCTTGGCGCGAGAAGAACCTTTGGAGAAGCAACTGAAAGGAAGACTTAGATCAGACACCATAACTCCATTTGTGTTATACCAAGACCCTTTAATGGAGGACAGAAGACCCTCAATACACTGATGACGTACTGCAAAGGGAAACAGTCTATCTTCTTCAGGTCAAGAGACACTCATGGTTAGAAGAAAGCAGTAGATGAACTACAGTCAGCACAATCCTGACCGCAAGAAGTATAATGTCAGTGTCAGGGCCTGAGGATATCCCAACTAGGAAGAGGTGGGAGAAATCCACATTTGGGATGAGTGCAGAGTGACCAATCACTTTCAAAGCCGGAGATGTGAGATGTCATGTCTTCTGGAGACAAAGGAAGGCTTTTTGTTTGGTTGAGACACAATCTTTCTTCGGCTACAGGCTCACTGAGAGAACCACTTTCTGTTCAAACTGTACCTACCTTCAAATGTGACAGAAGATTTCAGTCTACCACCAGCCTCAAGGACAGAAAGATCCAAATGCCCTTCTGTCTCCTTAGGCAAACATATATATTCAGTATTTAATCTCTCTTTCCCCATGGTGTCCTCATGAACATGGTGTCCTCTCTGCTCATCATGCTAAGCCAGTCTTACCTAACCTGGATGACCTCCAGGTGAATGATCTCAGCCTCCCTTGCAACCTCTTTCCCCATCATATTGTCTAGATCTGCCAGGATAATCCAGGATCAGTCTGTTGAATAAATAAGCCATAGTGGCTTGGTTTGCATATAACACTAAGCCTTCATGGATGGTATGCTCTAGTAACCCACATGGCTTACTGCTGTGTGCAAATCAGGCAACCATCTCAAACCATCAACGAGAAGTTAAAACCGAGCTCCTCTTCTCACACAGAGTGGATTTATGAAAAAACAGCTCATCAGCTTAATCAAACTGTAGTCTGTAGCTCCAGTACAACCACTACATTATAGGGAGCTCTCTAAACCACAATTGAACTGTGATTCATGGTCATGGATTCAGAGGGATACCTCACATCACGGTTTGTCAGTCCTCACTTAGTGGGAAGCTTTACTGTGATCAAACCTGAGTTATTCTTTAAGCCATGCAGGGAAGGGTAACCTTGGTAACGTAACTATTAATTCAGTTAGAGAACAGACTAAGAGGAGTTCAGTTTGCATGCATCTTCCAGAAAGATAGGGTGCTTTATTTATAAAGCCATTGCAAAACTAATTTTACTGTTACATTCCATGAACTCTTTTGGCCATATATTAATATGTGAAGATTTAAGACAGTCCTCTATGTTTAATTTTAAAAACCAGTAAATTAAAAATCCTTTAAGAGAAAGGCAGTCCAAGAGAACGTTGAATCTCTTGCACCAATCAGGATGATTCGTTCTTTTTTTGAAGAATTGATTTTCCCAGACCTGCATTTTCCTAACTACACTTTCGTCCTATAGGCAAAGGATGGAAATAATAATTATTGAGTTTCAATCACTGAGAGGCCAAATAACTGCATTCACAGACAAATCTAAAACAACCCCAGGAAAGCCAATGTATTTTAGGACTTTTTTCATAAGGGATGGGCAAAATGCAAAGACCAAGGCTTCAAACCTATACATTTCCTTACTTGAGAATGACCCTCACTGAAATCATAACTAACTTCTGAATGGATATATGGAACATTGTTATCCAAGACTATAATCTTAAACATAATTTCTTTGGCATAAGTCCCACTGAACACAGGTAGATTGACTGTAGAAAAACTATGGACAGGACTATACCATGCAGCCTCAATGCCTATACATGTTTATTTCAGAGTAAGTCTTGTTGAGCACACTGGGACTTCACTGTAAGCCAACATACATAGAACTGTGCTATGAGAATCTGAATGCAACAGAATCTGTGGAACTCTCACAGAAATGTGCATACTTCCAGACAATGATTGGAGTAGACCTACCAATCTGTTGTACTGTCAACGTGGATGTCTGCATGGGGATGTCAAAATCTACAAGATGGCTGGCATGTGCCTCAACTGAGCCATGCCCCTTCTGTACATACTGGGCCTATTGGGACCTCATCCTGTGGATTTTGACATACCCTCCCCCGGTGAATGCCCCTGACTATCAAGGATTCTCAATTAAACAATTCACCCCAAGTGAGCACCACAGCAAAGTTCTCAACTGAATACCACCACGTGCAAACCCAGCACATGCCTTCGTGACAAAACCCACCACCTAAATCAGGAATCGACTAATTTTTTTTTCTAACTTCAGCTGCCCCTATCCCTAAAAGTCCCCAAACCTTGAAAGATTTCAGCAACTTCAATACATTATGACATACGTTAAAACAGGGACAGCCATGGGGTCATCTAGAACTTGAGGTCAACTATTGTTGTACTTAAGTGAAGAAGAAGAATGGGCCCAAGGAAAAAACCAGGGATCTGAAATCTAAGCCAGAATTTGCAGAACAACAGAACAGGAAATGTAAAGAACTTGGGGAAGCATGTCTTTAATCAGTGGGGGGAAGGAGTGGAGAGAGATCCAGCATCGCACCATGGATGTTCCACTTCTCCTACCAATCTTCCTGCCATGAAGTAAGGGCTGCCATACAGGCTGCAGTAAGCATAGAATCAATGCATAAGCCAGCATTCCCCAATCTGGGATCCTTCAGGTGCAGTAGCCTACAACGTCCTCCATCCCTCCTGCCAGCCCTTCTGGCAGGGGATGATGTGAGTTGTAGTCCAACACGCACCAGGCAATTGCCTAGTGGTAGGGCTGGGGGGAGCCCATCCTGGTCCACTGAAGCCCAAGAGTCTGAGCGATGGCTCTCTACAAGCAGCAGCAGTAGCAGCAGCAGAAGCAACAGCCTCTCGGTGCCTTGCCTTGCCTCCTGCAGAACTTGGCCCGGGACAGGGTCTGTCTGGGCTACGTGCCTGCTTCTGTCCTGCTTCTTCCAGCTCTGGCCATGCCTGTCTGGACCGCGCCTTGGTCTTGGCACCTGGCAACCAAGAGCAGACCCCTGCTGAGGCCTGACAAGAAAGCAACAAACTTTTATTGGAGAGACAGGCAGTCCGCAGCTCCCTCGAAACCAACAAGGGGGAAAAAAGCAAACAAATGGTTGCAAACCGGATCAGCAGGGGAAGGAGGGAGAAAAAACAAACAGAGTGGTCTGGCACAAACAATTCCCTTGCAACTGGAGGCTGGCTGGATGGTGCTGGGCTTCTCGCCATCATTCCTTCTGTGAGCACTGAGTAGGAAAAGGTCCTCAGAAGATGGCACTCACCAAGTCCGATTCATCACCGTCTTCCTCTTCTTCGACAGAGTCTGCAGAATCTTGCTCCTCCTCGGACTCTCCGTCATCCATCTGCGACAGCCAAAGAAGATCAAGTGAAAACAGAGAATGCAACACCTGCTGAAAGGATCAAGCAAACTGGGTTACACCTGACCAGACCTTTAGGCTATCAAGTCCACTACCTTCTATCTTGACTTACAGTACCTCTGCAGAGTCCCGGGCAAGGAAGAATCTTCCTTGTCACCTGCTCCTTGATCTTTCTTTGCTGGTAATGTCAGGAATTGGAGCTACAGGTCTTCACAGGCAGAATCCATTTACTCAGTACTGTCTGCAGCCCAAATTGGGATCTTCAGGGGTTTGAGACTGCAACTCTGCCAGTTCTACTGACACTGAGATATGTGACCCCAAATACCTGGAAGCACCAGATTTCCTATCCTTCATCGTTCCTGACAAGTTAGCCCAAAATAGAAGTCCTTCATGTTATCTGCTACTTTAAGCAAGTCCCAAATTCTGGTTCTCAAATTGTCTTCAGATGCTGTCTTTAGGTTCCTCAGATCTAAGAAAGAGTGCCCTCTGGTCTTCCAACTTTGAGTCTCATCTTTCCCCAATATGGCCAATGGTCCAGTGTGATGGAACCCATACATCAACCACACACACGTATCAAGCTGGAAGTAAGAGTGTACTCTGAGTTTTTTCATTGTGGACAGTGAAGACCTGTAACAACACTAAGCATGTCTGCTCTACATCTGAACTATGGACCTTTCCATAAGACTTTAAATTATATAAAATACGATGCTTTTAATATATTAAGTTTGCAGAGGAAAAGGAATGAGGGTTAGAAAGAAAAAAAGTAGTGTTTTTTTTTTCTAATACAGCAAATTTCCAGTTTGCTTATATAGTCTAAATTTGGGCAAGGGGGAGCATTTTTTTTTAAATGCCTATATGCAAAAAAAAAAAAAATCCACCAGGTACACAAACCATCATAACATACTCACATAATAAATACCACAGCAGATAGCTGCTACTAGTCACTAGAAAATCTGTTATATATTTAATTTCATTTCATTTGTAAAATTCATATGTAGGCATTCTGATCATGTCTTCAGGATAGAGCTGAGAAAGCTACTGGGGCAGATGTTCAACCCAGGGCAAAAGATTTACAAGAGACAAGCCTTAGGGCACCATCTTCTGATCACCTTATGATTTGGCAACAGATCGGCAAATGATGCCAAATGCCAAGTCCTGAGGATTTTGTATCTCAGGAATTGGCACAGAATACACTTGCTACACGAAGAGTTGGAACCTGTGACTCCCTAAAGTAGCACAGTGGAGCAGAAAAGGTTACTGCATACCTATAATGCCTCAGCTGAAATGGGGACACTGGTTTTGATAAGCAAAGAATTAAGGAGGTAGCAAAGAAAATCCACACTGTGAACTAAGTCTTAGAGGCCATCTAAGCCAGTCCCACGTTCTCTCATGCAAAGTCTAAAATCCTCCAGAGCAGCATTCAGATCACCTTTCTGGTATTGCTAACATCCACAGCATCTCTCTCCTTAGCAGTTCTGTTCTCCTCCACAGGAAAGGTAGCTGTCTGATCTGTCCCACGTTCATCATCTTCCTCCAGTTCATCCGAATCATCTTCTTCGGAATCAACATCCAATCTTTCCCCATTCACATGTGGACTGCCATCATCCTTCTCAACCTGAACATTCCCATGCATAAAGGTCAACCGTGAGTCTAGAGCTCATGGACACGCCCCACTGCAACTTATTTCTGAACACTTTACGGAATAGAGAAAGTCAAATTACTGGGCCACCTGGTTCCATGGTGTCTCTACAAATTAACCATGGCTCTCTACAGATTCAAAGAGGAAGGAGTCTTTCCTAGGTGTACCTGGTGATGCAAGAAACTGAACCCGGGTCTTTCAGATGGAGAACATTTGTTCTTGAGTGACCACACCCACTCAAAGGCCTGGTTCGTGCTAAGCCATCATAAAACTTGGTTTTGGCTTAGTGTGTGGTACTGACCCAGCCAATATGGTTAAGTGGGCCTTGGTTAACCAGACCATGGTTCAGTTAACATTCAAACTTTAGATGTTAAGGAAGGCCCCAAATCTAAATCTTGCTTCTCAAGAGGATTTGGTGCCTTTCAGGTATGTTGGGTAGAAGCTCCTACGGAAGATCTGAAGGCCACGCTGCCCAGAAATGATGAGTTATAATCCTATACAAGCAGAAGGCAGGAAACTAGGGAAACTTACGTTAAAGAGCTAATTATTTATGTACATATTTCTAAACAGAAGAAACACAAACTGATTTTATTCCCACAATGACAGGCTATTACCTAAATCCCCAAGTAGCCATATAACTACCAAGTAACAAATACTGGAGAATGCTGTCCACATCCTGAGCAGGGGATTCCCAAAGATCTGTGGTTGGCAACTGCGAGAAAAGAAACACTGGACAAAATAGGATGGAATCCAGCAGGGCTGTTCTTATGTTCTTAAGGCCAAATTCCTTGCAAATCAGGAACAAGTGGCATGGAAACACAGACATGTTCTTCAATCATTTTCTGAGCTTTATCTGACCAGCGGGTCCCTTTTATGGCATTTTGTCGCCACCTTTTATACATCTGGCAACCTTCTTCTTGCTTCTCACCTTGCCACCTGGAGAATGAGTGATGCTTTTGAACATCTCAATCACAGTCCTCTGCTTTAAAACTTTGGTCTTTTTCTTGGGAACCAGGCTATACGTTCCCATTCTCCGTTTCTTCTTTCGAGATACTGAAGTAGCTGCGCAGGAGTACAAAGAGAAGGATCCATCAGCAGAAGGGAGAAGGCAGGTTCTGCAGGGACAGGCTAAGAGGAACACTGCCCAGAGCAGGTCGTTAATGCAGCATCTAAGATGCACTACATAAATCACCACACAATCACACACACACAAACACACAGAGGGAAAGCACAACAGGTCTACTACCAAGTGCCCTCAGAATGTTCAAGATTACAACTGCCATACTCTATTGCCACTGGTCTTGCTGACTGGGGTTGATGGAATTTGGAAACGTGGGACATTAAGGCATCTAGAAGACACCAGGTCACCCTCTGACTTCTTCACTTCTGAGACTACCCCACTCCAAGGAGATCTCTAACCCCTGGACTTTCTTCTTTTACCTGTCTGTGATTTTGAGGCGGCCACGTAGCTCTGATTCTGAGGTAGAGATGAGTGAAGGCCAGGGATGGAGGGCAAGGATGGGGTTTTTCCAAATTCCAGAACCGCTTTGCTGCCATCTTCCTTATGCGTTCTTGTTTCTTTGGGGTCTTTATTGGTATGCTGGAAAACAGAAGTCAAAAGGGACCTTTTATATTTCCTGGTGAAAAGGAATTAAGGGAAGGGGACTGGGGGTAGGAAATGCCACTGAAAAGAATGTGGGGGAAAAACTATTCAGTGAAATTACATTGAGTTGCCTTCTAAAACATATCCACAACCTGGTGCTCTATTCTTTATTCTTTACTCCATAGTCCAGTGTTTCCCAGCCCTTTGGACTCCAACTGTGTAGACCTCACCTCCCAGAATTCTCAGCAATAGCCATGCTAGCTGGGGACTTCTGGGAGTTGAGGGTCTACAACCTGGAAGTTGCCCCACTTCAGAAACACTGTCCCAGTCTCTTTGGGCCAGTCCTTTCTTCTCAACTTTAGGAAAAAGACTTCCAAAACCCTTGCCAAGAATATTGCAAGGACTTGTCCAGGCAGTCAATAGGAGTCACCACTGACTCAAAGGCCCAGAAATATATATATATGTGTGTGTGTGTGTGTGTGTGTGTGTGTGTGTGTGTGTGTGTGTGTGTA